CGTGGTAAGTGCACAATAAACAGCAAAATCTTTTCTTATCATTCATGACATAAACAAATGCATCAGAAAGCTATATATTTGGGCCATATTAGCTGAGATGCTTGAAAAATTGCTTTCAGCTCATTAAAGAGCTAAAAAATAAATGATCATTTTCTGTTTTAGAAAGATACCTCTGGAACTACTATACAGAATAGATTTAAAGGAGGCATGATTAGAGATAATGAGGACTAAACAGACTGAAAATAATGAAAGGTGGTAAGGGCATGGCTTATGGACAGACACGTAGGAAAATGGACATTTGACAGCTGGTTAGATCTCAAGGGATGCTTTCAAGTTGTCGGTATGTGAAACCAGGTTTTTCCATAAAGTGAGATTCATATGAAAAAATAGGCACTTAGGACATTTTACTTTTTGGTTGCTTGCTGTTTCTTTCATCTCTTAAGGAGAAATGATTGTTTTCAATTATTAAGGAGAAATGATTGTTAATAAGTTAAATCAGAAAGATAAAGACCATTACAGTATACTAACACATATCTATGGAATTTAGAAAGATGGTAAAGATAACCCTATATGCAAAACAGAAAAAGAGACTCCGATGTATAGAACAGACTTGTGGACTCTGGGAGAAGGCGAAGGTGGGATGTTTCAAGAGAACAGCATCGAAACACGTATATTATCTAGGGTGAAACAGATCACCAGCCCAGGTTGGATGCATGAGACAAGTGCTCGGGCCTGGTGCACTGGGAAGACCCAGAGGGATCGGGTGGAGAGGGAGGTGGGAGGGGGGACCGGGATGGGGAATACATGTAAATCCATGCTAATTCATTTCAATGTATGACAAAAACCACTGCAATGATGTAAAGTAATTAGCCTCCAACTAATAAAAATAAATGGAAAAAAAAATAAAATAAAAGAGATGCAATCCGAGTCATGGCACCAAAAAATAAAATAAAATAAAAGAGATATGCAAAGATTGAAAAATCATGTTCATGTAGAACATGGGCACCTGTTGGATATATGAACCTGGAAGTTAAAAGAAAGGTATAATAACTGTGGAAGGTAAGATAAAGGTGTGGGCTGTGGTTATGATTTGGTTATGCTTAGTTAATTTACACCACATTTATTGAAAACTAATATGGATAGTAAGCCCTGTACAAAGGGCCAAGAATAAATGATTTATTAAAATAAATGTGGTCATTGTTACCATGAATAGTGAAGGAGCTAGGACTTAAGCATGTAGTTATAAGCTGTAATAAAGAATTAAATGCAAAAGAGCAGAATACTATACATATTTATAAAATGATCTAATTTTTCAGGGGTCAGGGGAGCAAGTGTTCGGAAATTTCCTGAAGATTGGGTTTCCCTGATAGCTCAGCTGGTAAAGAATCTGCCTGCAAAGCAGGAGACCTGGGTTCAATCCTTGGGTTGGGAAGATCCCCTGGAGAAGGGAACGGCTACCCACTTCAGTAAGTATTCTGGCCTGGAGAATTCCATGGACAGTATAGTCCATGGAGTCGCAAAGAGTTGGACACGACTGAGCAGTTTTCACTTCACTTCACACTGGTATTTGTGCTGAGGATGGGCAGGTTTTATCTATTTAGAGATAATAAACAGTAGACAATGCATAGTGTAGCTGACATTCCTACAAGTATTTTCAGTAAAATCCTTAAAATGAGAATCACATAGTAATATCAAGAACAAAAAAATAATTTTAAATGACTGTCTTTGGGGATAAACAAGAGCTTACCTAGCTGGACATACTCCAAACTTAGGCAAAGAATCTCAAAGAACAGAATGAACAGTGGCAGCTGTCAAGATTTAAGGAAGGAAGGTGATATTCTAAGACCTGTTTTAAAGGTCTGACAGAAGAGAAAAAGCTGCTGACTTGGACCTGAAATGGAGTCTTGGAGTATAACAGTATTCAATGGGTTCAATGGGAATCCCTTAAGAAAAATGAAAAATTATCTGATTTGAAAATGTAGAGGCTGGAATCGTTCAGCTACAGGACAATAAATGGAAAGATAACCTGACTACAGAGAGCTGAAAATTAAACTGAAAGTGAGAACACACACTTTACAAGCAGTGCTTTCAGTAAGCTTGAATGGGAAAAGAAGAAGAATGCGGAATCTGAGGATGGGGGAACAGGTGACAAAATCTGGAGAGAGTCTTGCTTTTGCCTTCATGGTAAATTAAGTATATTAGGCATCATCAGAAACTTACTGGAAGCAGTTGAAAAAGAGAAGATGGCTTTGAAGAAGTAAGAGAAGAAAATAATAACTGATGGCTTAATATTGAAAAAGGAACAAGAGGAAAAGGAATCAAGAGATAAGGCAGAAGAATTAGTCTTGAGGAAGGTTCCAGAAGAATTTGGGAAGTTGAATAAATAGATACTTTCATATACAAAAAGGTATAAATAAGTGGAGTTGAATTATTTGATCCTGCACTAAATTTTTAGATCGATAAAGTTTTGTTAACTAATTTCACACGTGAGGCAAAAAGTAATGCACAATCTTGTGCAAGATCACAGAGCAAGATAGGCTTTGTCTTCTAATAGAGGGCTCAAATTTAGCTTGAATATGAAGCAAATGAATTTATTTATCTGTTTGCGAAAACTAACCTTAAAGATCATCAGAGCACAATCTATGTATAAACTGTATGTTAAATACATATTTCTTTTTTCAAACATGCAATATTAATATGAATCTCTGAGTGACTATCCTCATGAGACAAATTAATACTTGCCAGTTAACAAACCTTAAATAACTTTTTATATATGCTTCGGATTGAAATATCATTAAGTACATTTACTCATGTTTACTGACTCTCCAAAAATGAGGGCTTCCTCCAGTCTGGTTCAACTAAAAGGATCCCATTTTGGCCTATGGATAAAAGCTTTGTAGTTCAGGAAAATAACTGTTTTCCACTTAATTAAATCTAAGGAAAACTAAAACAGAGTAAATTGCACTGTTGTTTTTTTTTTAGGCAGATGTGCTAGTTTGAGGCTTTCCACTACACATCTTTTTAGCTGTAAGAACCTGGTTATTTCCAATAGGAAGAAACCTCCCAAAATGTATCTGAATCATGAAAATGGATGAGTACCCCCGTTAAATCTACCACTGTAAAGTATTAAAAGATTTTCCATGCAGGCAAAGAAGTCTTGTCATTGGTATTACACTGCCAGATTTGATAGCAAAAATCAATTTATTCTTTTATTCAACAAAACTTTCTGCAGTGCCTACTAATTGCCTGACACTGTGTTTGGCACTCTAGCTATGGAAAAGTGGTCAACAACAAGCAAGGAGCCTGATGTCAGGTTCCCTTTAACTTAACCACTGAATTTTAAACACTTAGAACTGAGATAATACAAAGTTTGTTAGTTGTTTTCCTGTAAATTAGGTTGGAGCATAAATGATTTCAACCAAGATTTATCTGCACTACATGTGATCTGATATGTGGATAGACTTAAATCTAGTATTTGTCTCTGTCAGGGTATTGCTTTTAGAATGTATTATCAGGAATCTGGGTTTTTTTTGCATTTATAGGTACTTGCATTTTCCAAGTTCAGTGGTTAAGAAGGCATATTATTTGATATGCCAAATCACAATGTCAATTTGATTGGCACCTCAATGCATTAAAATTAAAATATCAATATATTTTTACTTGGATTTATATCAAAAACCACTAATTATCTTTTGTGATGTATTTGCAAAGCATTTTATCTTCAAAAAATGTTAGTATGAAAGTGCATGTGTAACTTATATAACTTAAAAGAAGTAACTGCATAGATAGCAATGAAAAAGCAGTATACTACATAGTATACTATATGGGGAATGAAAACAAATCAACAATAAAATGTCATGGGAATGTTGAAATAACCTAAAAGTTAAGCATAGAAAATTAATCAGATTTTCTTTAATATTTACTCATTGACTATTAGTATACAGAATATAGTTTATAAAATGAAATAAATCAGCACTTGTTAAAACTTTTACAGTTTACAAAGTTAAGGGAAAAGACTACAATATAAATGTCAATATCATCATATAAAATAGAAAAAAAATTATATTCAAATAAATGAAAAGGAAAATCAGCAAGTATGCTGTTCCAAACTTAATGGAAGGGTATTCAGGTAGATACTTTGTAGAAAAGAAACCCTCCAAGTAGAGCTTTTTACTATTATTGAGAAAACTTTACATCATTGTGATGTATACAAAAGCTCCTCTTAGGCAGACTGAGAAAGAAAGGGCCTATTTATCAATGCACAAAACTCAGGCTTCCTTCAGTACCTGAAACCGGAAAATAGACATCAATAATTCCCAAAGAAGTTAATCTTAAAGATAAATATTTTTTCTCTTGTGGAGTAAATGAGCAACTGACAATGCCCAGGCATTCCTACCTACTTACTTATTCCAAACAGCATGGGAGCGATTACAATCCTGTTAGTTCTTTTACATTCAAGCAACAGAGAAGGTACCCCCATCTCTGAAGAGCGCTCAGCCCACTGATGGGGCCTGAGAGTCTATAATTGGGAAAAATTAATGCCCACTTTTCTTTTCCAAATCTTTTTAAACTGGAAAGCGGTGTGGTTAAAGGCATGAACTTAATGGTCAAGCAGATCTGGGTTTAAGTAAACATTAACTTGTGTGAACTTGGGCAAGTAAATAACTTCACTAAGCTATACCTTCTTCATAAAAAAAGAGAGAGAGAGAGAGAATTAAAAAGAGATCCCAGTTATAAAGTGGTGGAGATTATATGAGAGACCATATGTAGAAAACTTGGCAAGTACCGGACACAGTGTCAGAGCTCAACTGATGCTCGGAAGTGGTTTTAACAGAAGTAATGACACCAGTGCTCCTAAAAGATTTCAGGCAAGCACATGCTTTAAAAGAAAGCTTTATGTTTGAATGCTCTTCATGTCAGATTTGAGGAACAGTATCTGTTACAAGCTAAGTGGGTTGAGGGAGCCGCTCAATCACAGTTAGAAGGAAGTTCTCACTTACCTTGTCATTGACGACGCTCTTTCCATCCCAAGCCCATCCTCTTTTGGTGAAGTAATTAACAGTTGCAAATTCAATGAGGGCAGAGAACACAAAGGCATAGCAAACAGCAATAAACCAGTCCATGGCGGTCGCATAGGCCACTTTGGGGAGAGAATTCCGCGCACTGATGCTCAGAGTTGTCATTGTTAGAACGGTTGTTACCCCTGCAGAACGACAGGAAGCAAAATCAGCAACAAATACCAGCACGAAGCACTGGAAACATTTTTTCTCAAAAGGTACTTTCACTGCAACCTTTAGCCACTAGAAAAGCAACAAACAAAAATCTTCCGAAAGAAAACAGTGCAAAGTTAATTATCATAAATGGTTATCATATTTTTTTTAAGTGATGACTCTGAAATGCTTTGCTTTTTCATTTTTGTTTGTATGAATCTCCTTTTCCTCTTAAGTACCATTGAGGTTAGAAAGACTGGTGAAACTGAAGTAGAATTTCCGATAAGGAAAGCAGGTACTTGAAATTGACCCATTTCCCATTAACATTAATTTTAAAAATCCTTCACAAAGCTTCACATTAATTTATTCATCATTTATTTGACTCATTCTAAGAAATGGACCAGTCATCCACACTAGTGACCACAACAGAACTATGATTAAGTTCTTCATTCTAAGTATAGCTAGGCTAAGTATGAAATTAATTCTAGACTGGCTAGTATTGTGAAGATGGAATTTCCTTAATAATGAGGCTTAGAATCGACAGAAAAATAAAACAAGCAACTAAATGCTATACCTTATAAAATATTAATCACTAATTTTAAGGAGTAGTTTATACCTCCATTGGTTTAAAGAACGTCGTTCGGGGAAATCACAATGGTTAAGTAAAAAGAAAGCAATAACTCAGAAGACAGTCACAACATCAGCAATCAAAATGTCTGCAGTTACCTGCTTTATCAGAGATTCAAGAGAGGATTAGTTATGTACAAGCATGCATGCATGAGAAGTCTCTTCATTCGTGTCTGACTCCCTGTGGCCTCATGGACTATAGCCTGCAAGGCTCCTCTGTCCACGGGACTGTCCAGGCTAGAATACTGGAGTGGGCTGCCATGCCCCAGGGCATCTTTCCAACTCAGAGATCAACCCCATGTGTCTTAGGTCTCCTGCACCGACAGGAGGGTTCTTGGTGCCACCTGGGAAACCCAATTACGTACACACAGGACATATTAAATTAAAAGAATCAAAAGGCTGGAGAAATGTTCATTCATATAATGAAATTCTTTTATATTTTATTTTTTACTTTCCCTTAGGATAAATAAAGCAGCTTTTTTTCTCACTTACCATAGAGTTGGCAATTCAAAATAGCAGTAATTCTATTTAATTATGAATGAATGAATGTGGGAATAAGATAGTAGTAGAATGAAAGGTAGAAAGATAAATTTAGCTAAAAATAAATTTAGCTCACTTGCTGCTGAGTCAATACTATAAAACACATTTAAGAAATATATTGTGTTAACTTGTATCAAACTGTGAGAGATTTTAGATGGTGTTTCCTTTTGAGAATTTGGTACAGTACAATAATTAAATAGAATACAAGACAGTATGGACCCACACAAACAGCAACCCATCCCCCCAGGCACACACACATACATAAATGCAATTGACATGAAGATAAATTTAACTTCATCAGCAGTCAAGGGAAAAAAGCAATAATGAGATGCTTTTAAAAACAGTATTGTCAGCAAAATGTTAGGAAAACTTTGAAAGACTGATATTATCCTGGCATTGAAGATGATATAGATCAATGAAATTCTCTTTAGGGATTACAAACTGGTGTACTACACCTAAGAAATTGTTGCCTAATCTGAGGTCATAAAGATTTAAGCCTATATTTTCTTGTGATTTTATAGTTTTAGATCTTACATTTAGGTCTTTCATCCTTTTTGTGGTGATTTTTGTATATGGTAGATGTCCAGATCTATTCTTCTGCATATGGATAGTCAGTGGTCCCAACACCATTTGTTGAAAATACTTTTCTTTCCCCATTAAATGATCTTACCACTGTTGATGAAATCAACTGATCAAAGATGGGTTTACTTCCAGACTTTCAATTCTTCTTTTTTTCAAACTTGAAACTTTTTATTTTATACTGGGGTATATCCAGCCAGTCCATTCTAAAGGAAATCAGTCCTCAGTATTCACTGGAAGGACTGATGCTGAAGCTGAAACTCCAATACTTTGGCCACCTGATGCAAAGAGCTGACTCATTTGAAAAGATCCTGATGCTAGGAAAGATTGAAGGTGGGAAGAGAAGGGGACGATAGAGGATGAGATGGTTGGATGGCATCACCAAGTCAATGGACATGAGTTTGAGTACATTCCAGGAGTTGATGATGGACAGAGAAGCCTGGCGTGCTGCAGTCCATGGGGTCACAAAGAGTCAGACACGACTGAGCGACTGAACTGAACTGAACTGACAGCCGATTTACAATGTTGTGGTAGTCTCTGGTGAACACTGAAGGGATTCAGCCATATATATACTGGACTTTCAATTCTATTCCATTCATCTACATGTCCATCCTTATACAAAATTCACAATTTTGATAACATAGCTTTAGGGTAAGTGTTGAAATTGGGAAGCATGGGTCCTCCAAATTTCTTTTTCCTTTTCAAGATTATTTTAGCTATTCAGAGTCCCTTACACTTCCCGATGACTTCATGGCCAGTTTGCTCATTTTTTCAAAAAATATCCTTGGAGTTTTGGTAGATATTGCATTAAATTCCTTGTTTGGGGAAATATTGCTATATTAACTACAATAAACCTTCCAATCCCCAAATGTGATATATCTATCCATTTTAATTGGACATACATGTCATCTTCACTTATTTAGAACTTCAATTCCTTTCAGCAACATTTTGCCATTTTCAATTTATAAGTTTTTCACCTTTAAACTTAAATTTATTTATAGGCATTTTATTCTTTGGGCTGTTATGTAAATAGAAATACATTTATTTCCATTTTAGAGTATTCGTTGCTAGTGTATAGAAACAAAGCTGATTTTTTTGTGTATTAACGTCCCACCTGACATTTTCCTGACTATATTATCTCAAATAGCTTTTCTGTGGTTTTATTAAAAGTTTTCTATATATAAGAATAGTGACCGCATACAGAGTTTTATTTCTTCCTTTCCAAGTTGGATGCCTTTTATTTGTTTTTCTTGCCTAATTTCCCTGGCTTATGCCTGTAGTATGATGTTGAATAGAACTGATGAATGCAGACATCCTTATTTTGTTCCTGATGTTAGAACTAAAGTTTTAATCTTTCACCTCCAAATATCCTCTTTATTGGGTTAAAGAGGTCCTTTTCAAGGGCTAGTTCACTGACTTTTTAAATCATGAAACGATGTTTTATGTTTTTCAGAGTCTATTGAGATGATGGTGTGTTTTCTTTTTTTCCATATTCCATAAATCTATTTGGGATTATTACATTGATTGATTTTTGTGTGTTTAACCAGCCTTACTTTCCCGAGATAAATTACACTTGGTCACAAGTGTGCAATCCTTTCTATATGTGGCCAGTTTCAGTTTGTTAGTTTCCTGTTGAGAACATTTGAATCTATATTCATAAGAGGGATTGATCTGCAGGGAATTTTTTCCTCTTGTGATTTGTCTGGATTATTGAGCTTCTTGAATGAGTTGATTTGTGTTTTTCATCAAAGCTGAAAAATTCTGACCACTATTTTTCAACTCTTTTAATCCCTTTGCCCCCCTCCTCTCTTTCCAAGACTGCCACTGTTCGCCACTGTACATGTATTGACATGCTTGATAATATGCCACACGTGTCTTGGGCACGGATTACTTTTCCTCATTTTTTTTTTTTTTTACTCCCTGTTTCCCATACTTAAGAATCTTAACTGACTTCTCTCTGAGTTCACTGATTCTTTCTTCTGATTGCATAAATCCACTATTAAGCTCCTCTTTTCAATAACGGTACTTTTGAATTGCTGGATGTCTACCTGTTTACTTTTTATAATTTCTATCGATGTGATATTCTATGTTTGATGAGGCATCATTAGTACACTTTCATTCTTTAGACATGGTTTCCTTTAGCTGTTCTAGTTTATCTAATGTAGCTTATTTAAAGTCTTTATTTATTGCAACACTCGGGCTTCCTTAGGTACAGTTTCTAATGAATCCTTTTATTTTTGTACATGGTATATACTTTTTAAATTTGCAGACCTTACATTTTTGTTGTAAACTGAACATTTTGAATACTGTAATGAGGTAATTCTGGAAATTATATTCTTGCCCTTTCCAGGGTCTTTTTCAATTGTGACTTGTTGTATTTATGGACTCTGCTTGTATAGTGACTTTTCTTAACTAATTCTGTAAATTCTGTTTTCTCTTCATTTGGGACCACTGAAGTCTCTGTTTTCTTAGCCTAATGGCCATCTAATGATTGGGAACACTTTCTGAAACCCTGGAAAGCATAAATTTCTCTGTCTTTGCCAGGTGATTCTGTACATAGGTTGGGGTATGTCTTCAACATTCAGCCACACAGTTGCCAACTCTGCCTTAGCATCCACTTTCTGCTTGTATAGAGGCTCGAGGTCAATGAGAGGGGAGTGCTGTGGGCTTTCTCAGTCATTTTGGGGTATTCACATAACTGTGTAGCCATGTGGCCTTCTAGATTCTAAGAAATACGTTAGTGTTTTTCAAATCACTTATGTGCAATTGATTCCCCAGCTTTTCCTCTTAAATCTTTTTGGTAAACCCATTGTTTGATCCAAAAGTTATCCATTGCCTCTGGTAGAGGCAGCTAAAATATTTGTCTGTAAATGCTTTCAGTGTGGATATGAGACTAGGGTATAAGTTTCAGTACCACAAAGATTACTATTCTTACCAAGATTCTACAATTTTTCTCAAATAAGTGTACTCAGGGTTGCAAACTGTTGGCTGATTTCTAAAGTTCTGAAAAGTTGATTTGTAAAAGTTTTACCAGTTTCTCACTGCTTTTATGAAGATGTGGGATCTTAGTATTTCTTACTCCACCATTTTTGTTGATATCACTTCAAACAATTTGAATGGGTCTCCCCTGAGACCTAGGAATTATTTACCTAGATGAGCCAGGGCAGGATGAAATACTGGATACCTGTGTAGTTCTGTCCTCAGAAGGCCTTACAGTCAGATTGCTGGGTTTGAATTCTGGCTCCAC